CAAAGTGGTCAAAAATGAGGGAATTAGTGGACAAATTAAGATCCTCTGTAAAACTTTTTAAAAATGAAGTGAAACTGTTGGTCCCCAGTAGAGTTTAGATCCCGGAAAAATTCATGTATTTAATTTTCTTAATCATCACTGCATGTCAGACCGTATTGTCTATAGAACGTTGTTATAGAATAGACTTTGTAGCATTATCTTAATAAAATACGCAAACTTTCAGAAATTTAAAAAAAAGAAAGAGAAATGGAGAGAAAAAATTAAAAATGATTTGAACAGTCCAAAAAATAATTTAAAGAATTTTTCCGGGATCTAAACTCTACGGGGGACCAACAGTTTCACTTCATTTTTAAAAAGTTTTACAGGGATCCTAATTTGTCCACTAATTCCCTCATTTTTGACCACTGTGCGATGTAAATTTGTGAAGCTGAACACAATTTCATGCATAGCGGACCGATAAGAACATTGTTAGCCATGAAAACTGCAGCAGACCGACAATTTTATTTCCATTTTTAAAAATTTTACAAAGAATCATGATTTGTCGACAATTTCTCCTCACTTTGGACCATCGTGCGATCAAAATTTTTGAAACTGAACACAGTTAAATGCTTGGGGGCCCAATCAGAACATTTACAGCCAAAACCCATCAAAGGTGTAACTTTTTCGTCCATTTTTCCCGTCTTTTTGCTGTAGAAATGCTGTCCAGAGTGATGGCGATTTGGCAACTTTGCCCCCTCATTTCTCAAAAACCGTGCGTATACTCAAGCTAAAATTTTAACCAGAGTTTTGGGGTATTATAAGGTATCGTTTGGGCCCAGTTTCAGAAAAATCCCTTCTGGCCCAAATTGTGCCAAAAAACGGTCGTTTTTGGCGTCGCTCTTTCAATAATCGGCCCGCAGGGCAGCACTAAGAAACGCAAACAGAAACGAGTGGCTTGGAGGACAAGGCGCGTAAGTGCTGTTTTTTAAGAAGTTTAGATACCAAAGATTTTAAGTGAAACTAGTTTGAATGCATATTTCTCGAAAAATTCTCTCCGAAATTCCAATTTTTTAGCATCAAAAGGTCAGTTTCATTTTTCTTTCCGCCATGAGGAGTCATAAGATTTCAAACACGTATTTCTCGAAATTCCAAAAACTACACTTATGCGCCTTGTCCTCCAAGGTCCTCAAATTTCTTTTCGCCGAGAGAGTTAAACCGAATTTCCTGGAATTTTTAGAAGATAAGCAGTGGGTATGCGATCCGCAACTCACTACTGTTGGCCACTCTGATGCACGGTAAGGGCCACAGAAAAAAACCGGGTTCACAAATGAAGTTTAGGAAACGAACTGCGATTTTAAGTCGTTTTTGTTTAGGTGCGGCTTCGCCGAGGGTAATTTAATCTCCATTAAACCCTCTGCTCACCTCCTCGTTCACTCTACACTGTCTACACTCTGCTGCACTTCCCCGCATCCGAAGATTTCGTCGAAGGGTAAACGACAGCTGCGAAGTACTAGCGGATTTCCAGCCCAAGATAATATTTTTATGGCTGACTTGAAGAGTTAACGCGTCGCAGTGGCGTAAAGGGAAAACTCCTCAGATGAGTGAGCAAATCCTTCGCTTGATGTGAGGTTCACGCAGAGCTGCCGATTTTTCATGAACTTTCCACATCCTCGAAAAGGCTGATGAACTACCGCAAGATACATTTCCGTACAAACATGTCACTTGTCGCACAGTTCATGTTGAAAAAAAAAAAAAAAAAAAAAAAAAAAAAAAAAAAAAAAATTCGTGGCTATGCTAAAAGGAACCAGAGACGGGTGGGAACGAAGGAGTTAGTTGGGGCCGTAAGCATGAATGGGAATTATAAAGCGCCAGTGACGTCAGCGGCGGCTACCGCACGGAGAAAAAAACTTCGTGCATGGGACCCGAAGTTGAGGTCATATGGATCTCTGAAGTTTTCTGATCACGCATCCGAAAACTGAAGGTCAAGCTGCCGAAGTTCGGGTCAGACATCGAGACACTTCGGTACGTACCGGAGTACTTCAGATGTGTGACCCGAACCCTTCGGTATATAGCGAAGTACTTCAGATGTCTGACCCGAACTTCGGCAGCTCAAGTTTTTACTTCAGAAACTTCAGAGATCCATATGACCTTAACTTCGGGTCCAACGCACGAAGTTTTTTTTTTTCCTTACGGGCCCACGCGGGAACGGGAACGCTCTTTAACTCATGAGCCCTGTCCACACGCTTTTGTCACATGCTTACGGCTCATGAGTTAGCGTATTTTGAATTCCTTTTGTTTTAATGTAAATCCCCACTTCTCCACTTTCCCCAAGGGAACACGCCCACATTTCCATTGCTTCATATGCAGATCAAACTGGTACACCCCATCTTCCATCTTTCCCACACGTTTCTAGTTCCTTTTAGCATAAATGGACGCATTTCTAACAAACAGAATTTGTGCGGACGAGAAAGATTTGGTATGCTCGTTCGTTCTCGGGCGGGAAAAATGTATGAGAATTATAAAGCGCCAGTGACGTCAGCGGCAACGAAGCCGTCTCCGTTGTCGCCTTTCCTCCGCTTTACCTCATGAGCCTTGTCCACAACGCTCTTTTACCATGCCTGTGGCTCATGAGTCCCGCGTTCAGTTGGCTTATACTTCTGTTTGCTTACTTTAAAATCCCGCTTTTCCATTTCACCAAAAGGAACCACGCCCATCGACCACATTTTTTTCTCATCCACCTCGCCACGAGCACACCCTATCTCTCCCACCCGCACATAGTTGGACGGAGTTAAACAGAAAGGAACCAAGCCACATCGGGATCGAACCGAGAAAAAGAGGTTTAAAGTTTGGCTCCTGCATAAGACTCAATGTAAAAGATAAACTTCAAGTTCAATTTCTGCAAAAGTTGCTCCAACAAAAACTTTGAATTTTTGGCGATAGATAGTAGAGCAATGGTTGAGTTCAAAACCACTCATAACTCAATTTTTCCAAAATGTGGGTTGGTTCCTTTCTGCTTAACTCAGTCCAGTTCTGCTTGGTAGAAATAAGTCCAAACAAATCCAATGAAGAGATGAGAATGTAGAGTCTACACCAGAATCATCAGATTGAGACTCACCCGCATGTCAAAAAGCCAAAATTAATATAGGGCGAATCAAAATTAAAAATCTTGTCATCCGTTTGGACGAAAATCCGTGTTTAAATAGTTTTGAATTCTATTGATTGTCCGAATGTCCGTAGACATCAAGGGATCGGCACATCCATGCTCAGGCCTTTCAAATTTTCAGGGTTTGAGGCCGAGTATAAGAATCTGTTCCCGCAGTTCTAGATGCAGTTCCACCCGTCAGTTCCGTGAAACTTTGACGCCACTACCGGGATCCAAACTCAGGATCTATTCTGTCATACTGAGGGAGAACGCCGTATGAACATTTGGGAATTGCCAAATTCCTACGAATAAAAGATGTATTTTCGAGAAAAGTCATGCATATTTTTCCTTGGAATTTTCAGCTATTTTAGATTAAATTGTGAAATACATTGTCTGAAATGTAGAAAAAAAAGACTCACAATTTTCCCAGTAAATTAGGTATTTATTGAAGGAAATACGGCGACGTCTGAAGGCTCATGCGGCTCACAGTGGATCGAGTCAATAGGAAAAGTCGGACAAGATTTGGAGACTTTAAACGCTCATAATTCCGTCTATACAAAACTTTGAGGTTCTAAAAATGGTTTCATTGGTTTTCCCGTCAAATTTTCTTTTGGAGGCACCCCTCAAAATATAAAATGTGACAAAATGAACATCAACATTTGCAGTTTTAGTCAACAATATCATGTCCGACCTCTCTAACTGACTCGATCTAGTGTGCGACGCAGTGGCGTGGCGTGCTTTGCGATATATCGATTGATATGCCATTTAAACTTATGGAATAAAATCGATAAACAGGGTGTTCGCAGCGAACACCTTAATAATCGATTCTTTACCATAGGTTTAAATGGCATAACAACCGATACATCGCAATTCACGCCACGCCACTGGTGCGACGTGACGCGTGATCACCGTAGTTCGCCTTCAATCGGACGAATATGCAAAAACAGCGACGCTTGGGTCACAATAGTTATCTCGTGGCGCCTTCCGTAAATTCTTTCCCGAGAAGCAGTGATCGCGTTAAGTGGCGATTTGATGGTTTCCTCGTCAAAATTTCCTCTTAAAGCACCCCTTGAAACTTAAAATGTTCCGAAATAAACTTCAAAATCTTTTTTTTGGAACAAAAGAGGTAATTTATTTAGTATGGACAAATTGGAATCATGATGGACAGGTCATGACCCGAAGGCCTGTTTATACATTCTAAGAGCTGAAGCCTAAATATTTACAATTTCTTAATCCATAGGGTGTTTTCCCCTTGTACTATTTCCCTTTAAAGTGCATATTATCTATTATTAGCGAACTGAACTTCCTCGATCTTCTATTCGTTATTCAGTCTGCATTGTTCTCCTCGGGACTGTCGATAGACTTTTCTTCGAGGGAGGAGGGTCATTGATGATGTTTTCTAGATCTTTGTCTTCAGGGGCGGACTGGCCATGGGGGCAGGGAGGCAATCGCCCTCTAACATTTTGCCGCGGAGGTCCCGAAGGGGCCCCCGCGGCGAATTTTTTTTTGAGGCATCATTTTTTTCCCGTAATTTTTGAATTTTCTTATCCTTTTCAATCACTGAAAGGCCCCGAATTCCTTGAAAATTTGTCTCTAAGAGACATGGAAGGTCGCCGATGAATCCTGGGAATGGGTTATTTTGATGTTCAAGTACAGTAGAATCCAACTCCAATAATGTCTACGTGTTTAAAAAGTGTGAAATTTTCAAAATTTACCGGGGGAGGACCCCCGGACCTTCTTAGAGGGGCCCCCGAACGACAGGAGGGGCCCTTACATTTAGGTCTCCTCCTAACTTTTCGACTACCAGTCCGCCCCTGTTTGTCTTCATTCAATATAGTTCTTCTTACTGTGTAACCATTGTTGGTTTTGCGTTATGTTGGCAGGCTGTGCAGCTCACAACAGGCGACCACCGTCGGGAATCACTACAGAAAGCGCGAATCAACCACGAGTGACACGACGACGATGACGCTGGTCGGCTCGGTGGCCGCCTCGGGGCCCACCCCGGCGCCAAACGGCACTCGCTTCTCTAACGGCTCCATGGGCCGCCCCTCCTGCCCCTTCCTCGACGTCACCAGCCACGAGAACGTCGTTTGATCCACGCCCACGTCTTCACCCTCGTCGCCCGCGTGCTGGCCCAGACGTCGCCCGGACCCCGAGACCAGCTTGTAAGCGGATCCCAGACGAAATCCTCGTCTCCCGGCCGACCCAAGGACTGTTGTGCTAAGGAAGAACGCCGTATGAACGTTCGAGAGTTGCCGAATTTCTCCGAATAAAACGTGTATTCACTGAAAAAAATGGTAAGGTGAAACCACCAGTTACAGACACCCGCAAAAATGTGACCAGTTATAGACACCCTTCGTCTAAATATGGTATTAATAAAGAAAGAAGTGACTTGGTTCTTTGTGTGTTGTTTTCAATTAAACTCACTTGAGAATGCGGGTTGAATTAAAAACAACACACAAAGAACCGAGTCACTTCTTTCTTATTAATACCATATTTAGACGAAGGGTGTCTATAACTGGTCACATTTTTGCGGGTGTCTGTAACTGGTGGTTTCACCTTATGCTGTTTTAGCACCTAGGATGTCAAAAATGTGTCTGGTGATCCTATGATGCTGCCTTGATTGCCCACGCAGTTGAATTGGACGTATTTCTACCAAACAGACCTATGTGCAGGTGAGAAATATGGGGTGTGCTCTAGAAAGCTGCATAGGAAGCAATGTAAAAGTGTGCGTGATTCATTTTGAAGAATTGGAAAAGCGGGATATTACATTCTATCAAAGAGACATATGTGCCAACTGAATGCGGGATTCATGAGCCGCCAGGATGGTACGAGAGCGTTGTGGACAGGGCTCATGAGTTGAAGCCGACCACGAGCCGCAACGGCGTCGGTTTCTTCGCCGCTGACGTCACTGGCGCTTCATTATTCTCATTCACTCTTACGGCCAGAGAACTAACGAGCATGTCCCATATTTCTCACTTGCGCATAGGTCTGTTTGATAGAAATACGTCCAATTTACATTCATAGGATGTGAAGTTAACTGCCGGGGCAGTAAAGGCAGCATATTGGGATCACCAGACACATTTTTGACATTCTAGGTGCTAAAACAGCATATTACTTTTTTCGGTGTTATTGAGGAAAGTCATGCTTATTTTTCCTTGAAATCTCCAGATATTTTGGATTAAACTGCGGGCAAAACTGTTTAAAATTTTTGATGACAAATGGTAACAATTTTCCCGGTAAATTCGTTATTTATTGAAGGAGATATGACAACGCTGGAGGCTCATACGGCGTTCTTCCTTAGCAAGGCAGCACTGCCGTCCGCAGCAGTGGCGTGGCGTGCTTACCCGCGGAAGTGAATTATAGCCGATGAAAAATAAGCGGACCCGACAGATTATTTGGACTATATTTTGCAGTGCGGCGAACTACAATATCTGGCTCATCGGTAAAAACACTTATGCACTCAAGAAAACTAATTGTACGTACGTTTTTTATAAACTGAGCCCAAAATTTGAGTTCCTAATTGCAAAGTGTGGTCCATTTAGAGGCAACAGAGACGGTGAGATGGACCTCTAGCGTAGATCTGCTGGTATTTCCAGACAGGATTGCGTCAGAAATGAGACGGTGCGGGAGATCATGGATGTCAAAAAGACAATCGTGCATGGCGTTGTGACAAAACAGCTTATATGGTTCAACAAATAGTATTTATAAAGGGATTTTGCCCTGAATCGATGTTGAATATAAACACGCATCTCAACCTGGATCGTCGCAATTTTCGGTCATATTTTGTAGTTTCTTAGAGGAATGATGATCATTACTTTTTGGGATGTTTTCGGATGTTCTCCTACCTTTAAACAATTTTCTATAAAAAGATCAATTGATAATATTCTTTCGCTTTCCTCAAAAAAATATGAAATAGCAGCGGAGATATTGTTGGAGATACGTGCTTTTCGACTTTCGCCATTGGAGCATTTTTCATGACTGATGAGAAAAAGAGGCTTATAAGTCGCTGCCGTTTTGAGAAAGAAAGCAGTATGAGCATATCGACGGTGAAAGTCGGCAATCACATAACTCGTTTGCGGTGTCTGAAAATATCCGCCTCCACGTCATTTTTTAAATGGAGAACAAATTGACATTATTTCTTATAGTTTTTGCAGAATTTTCTTCGCATTGAGAAGAAAAATCATGACATTTTAAAAGAATTGCCGTTCAGTAGTTTTCCATTTAAAAAATAAAGTATGACAGGAAGTCTGCGACGTCGCAAACCGAGTTATGTGATTGCCGACTTGCACCGTCGATATGAGGACTGTATCATAAAAAGCTGTAATCCTCTACTCTGTAAGTCTCAAAAACCAAACAATTGCGCTAAAAATCTGAAGTTTGCATATTATTGCAGAACCATTTGTTTTCTGAATAGATATACCGACTTAAAATGCTCATAAAATGTCATTGGGATGTAATTAAGTTTATTTTTTAACCAACTCGGATTATTTCCAGCACCAAAAACAAAATAGTTAAGATTAATTTTTGCCCAAGTTTTCTTGTTACCTATTCTAATTCCACCTCAAAGACTGTCTGGTGGCTCCAAAATAATCATTTGTGTAATGTCAAATCCACCCGATTTTTACGAAGAAAACAGGAGAAGAATACTGCCGTGCTAAGGAAAAACGCCGTATGAGCCTTCAGGCGTTGCCAAATTTCCCCAGGCAAATCACCAATTTTCAGGAAAATTGTTGGATATTGGTCTACCTACCTACCGATTTCTCAGATAATTTTGTTTGTAGTTTGATCTAAAACTTCCAAAAATTTCAAGGCAAAATATTCAAACTTTTTCTCAAAAATAAAAATTTTATCGAAAGAAATCCTGCAACTCTCGAATGTTCATACGGCGTTCTTCCTTAACACGGCAGAATATTGCTGCAATGCTGATTCGGTGCTCGCTGCTACAGAGACTCATCTTGGTTTAGAAGAATTGTTTTTTAGATTGATTTTCTACTAGTTTAATGGTACTTGTTAAGGTTGTTTTCAATTTATTCCTCGATGTATTTGCCTGAATCCAGCTTACCTACTCCCAATTCATCCATTTTTGCAAGTAGGTAAGCCGTTGGAGCCAAATACAGCTCTAATAGGTACCTAACGTTCTTATATGATATCTTGGCGTCGCGTCGCTATTCTATGAGGCTCTGACGTAAGGGCGTATCTCCATCCCCACGTGAGCCGCGGAGAGCATTATTTATATGGACAACAAGGCTCACGTGGTAATCGAGATACGCTCTTGTGTCAAGAATTTTTACCCATAGCTGTTATCGCCCATGAGGTAACGGATCTTTGTCCAGAAAATCTCGAAATTGCATTATTAAAAGGTATTTATGCGTTGATTATTGAAATTGATAGACAAGGCGATATACAGAGAAGACAAAAGGCAAATGAAGCGGAAAGAAAAATAATCTGTCAGGAAGTAAAATATTATTTTGTCCAGAGGAATGCGATACAGTATTCTGCCGTGCTAAGGAAGAACGCCGTGTGAACCCTCAGGCGTTGCCAAATTCTCTCTGGCAAATCACTAATTTTCAGGACAATTTTTGAACAGATATTCCTCTGCCAATTTTTCAGATAATTTTTTTTGTTATTCGATCTATAGTGTCTGAAAATTTCAAGGAAAAATATTCATAATTTTCCTCAAAAATATAAATTTTATCTAAGGAAATTTGGCAACTCTCGAATGTTCATGCGGCGTTCCTCCTTAGCACGGCAGTACTGAAAAGCAACGGGATCACTCGCCGCGCAAATGATTACCTACCTCCCAAAAGTGATCGTGAAAACGTCATGACTTTAACGGCGAAAAGTATAATGTTGCGGCAACGTTTTCGCGACGCTATATTCTGACTGTTGTCCAGTGGGAAAATTTGGCATGGAGACAATGTTAGCATTTCAATTATGCAACTTTCGAAATTTTATGTTTTTTTTTTAGTTGATACCTACTTCACTGTAAATCAAGTAAAAATTTTAACTATTACCTAAGGGCTCTTTGCAAGCTACATCAACGTGTACCTATTTGGTGTCTTGGCCCCTACTTGCTAAATTCGGTTCATTTCGTATACATACTTATCTTCTTGATGTATAAAAATAAATAAATAAAAAAATACTAAAATGATAAAATGCTCTACGACCATGGTTTTATTGAGGCCCGCCACACGGGTGGGCTTAACGATCCCCAGATGAAAAATTCGAAGCCCCCAGGTCTGAAAGCGGTACCTAAACTGCATGAAAATTACTGGTAGTGATTTGCGGGATGGACATCCTGGATGCCTTTGTAGAAATGTTTTTAGTGTAATATTTGCACTATTTGGCAACGCTGCCGTGCTAAGGAAGAACGCCTATGAACATTCGAGAGTTGCCAAATTTCCCTTGATGAAATACCCTGGTAAAAATTGGCGATAAGCGCTGCGTTTCAAAACACCATAGGAATTCTTATAGCCGGCTAAGGAAGGCTACAGAAAATCATAGCTGGCTGTAGAATGCGGAGAAAATCATACGGCCGGGCTATAAGAAGCTATACAAAATTATGCAGCCGGGCTATAGTTCCTATCGCCGGGCTTTACACTATATCGCCTGGCTGTTGCTTTTTTCGTCATCGATTATAATAGGCTATTAAAAATTGTGTAGAAATTCGTGTGCTTTGGAAATCATTAAGTTTGATACGGAACCACCTTAACAATTACAAAACACACATTATATTTTCCTTTAATACATAGTTTTTTTCATCAATCAAAATTAAAACAATCCATACAGGATGTGCAAACAATTCAAAATCATGAGTTGAATAACGCTGACTCCGCGAGATTAAATATTAGAGCCTAACACAAAGCGGAGCGGCGACGCACTGGCGCCTACAAACCTAACAGGGATACTTCACGCATTGAGCAGCGCGTGAAGTATCCCTGTTAGGTTTGTAGGCGCTAAAGCGCGTTTCGCGCTGGCTGCCCGCCTGCCGCGCCGCAGCGTGCCACCCACGGCGCTTGAAGCACTATTTCACACCAGAGGTATTGCACAGTATCATACGAAACTGAAGGCGCTCTAATATATTAGGAATGGCAGGCATCCATCAAAAGTACGGAGCTTTCCTCGCAAAATAAATCAAGATACTACGGCCCAAAAAGAGAGCAGTAGTCCAAACACTCACTAAGTCCTAGCATCCGTAATTAGTAACGTTTAGCATACACTTTATCGCCTGGCTGTTGCTTAGTCGCCATCGGCTATAAAAGGGTATAAGAAATTGTGTAGCCGGCTATAGAAGCTATTGAAAATCTCACAGCCGGCTGTAGGTCTACGGTATTTTG